AGCGCAACATCCTCGCAAACGCACCGGATGCTGGGATTGTCCATCCCTAATCCAATTACACGGCTGCTTCGTGATCCGCGTGTTCCATTCTCGTGCCTAAATTACACCATTAAGCAATCTTAAATGACGCGCGATTAAGATCTCGCCGAGTAATCTCGATTAACAAAATCTGCACGAGGGTTCGTCCGTGAGAGCAAGAGTGTGTATATATATCTAAGGTTTTTGTTGTTGTATATTTGACTACAATCGTACCGTGGTTGAACGTGTCCGAGCTCACGGGATCTTGAGATCGGGCTTGGTTATTGCTGGAATGGATGGCCACCGGTGCATACTAAACTAAACGATTTTTTAAATTTATTTTACCAGGTTAAGGACCACTGAACTATGCAGCTCTTTCTTTTTTTTAGAAGAGACTTGGCCACGAATGATATCCCAACGAAGTGGCTGATCATGTGGACATTGCAAGCTGCCAAATACTCTAAACGCGTGTTTCTCAATGTGGAGGAAAAATCCACGCGACCATGGGGAGAGATACATGCAACCTTCAAATATACAGCAGGCGTCAGGGCCGGGACCGAACCCACGATCTCCTGCAGGTGTTATCGGTTTGGGGCTGTCAAGTGCCAGGACATGGCAGCATAGCAATGGTCGACAGATAGAATTGATCATCATCATCAATAATAAAATAATAATTTTCAATTTAGATTTAAAGCTTACTGTGTTTTCACATCTGATGATGATTGCTTGTGTTGCAGTCCAAACGTCGTGAGAATTTTATTGTTTTATATTTTTATTATTTTATTGTTTCCCTTCTACGTGACTTTACTGAAAGAACCAATAATATATAATAATAATTTTCAACTTGTAACGCACTGCACAGTATTTGCTCGCTCTCAATGGGAGAGGCAAAACAACCCAGAGGCGCGAGGAACCAAAGGCGAGCGGGGAAGGTCGCCAGCCGGGCGGTGAGCCAGTGCCAAATTCCACCTCAAAGCTTTGCGGTCCTCTACATGTTAAGGTGTCATCAGTCATTTGGGAGGTAACCAGAGCACCCGGAGACAACCCACGATGGGGGGGTCACTACTTTTTAGCATGCAGAGGGAACAGGCGAGGTTCACATTCGTTGTAGCGCCCCTTGTTGGCGAGCCAGGGACTGGCTCTTTGCTCGACGCCCACGGGAAGATAGTCTCACAACATTTGTGCGATCCGTCAACCCTCGCCTCCACAGTGCTGGATTATGGGGCCTGCACAGCCACCAACCACCCACCCACCTAATCGGCCTCTCTACGCAGACCAGGGACACGCCTTTTAATATATACACTGCCAATCAAACCGAATAATAATAATAACAATGGATTTTCCAAAGTGGAAAAAAGAATGCCACATTTACGGACGACGTTTAAGATGACGGGAAGCTGTGCAGTCACAGGTGGCCCAGGCTGACATCATCAACTCGCTGCACTTGAGAGGCTGGATCACGAGCAGCGGCTGAAACCACCGATTCGAACCAAAGATTAATAACGGCCATGACGGACAAAAGTCATGGCCATCATGAATCCCATGTGTGTGTCGGAGAGAAAAAGGGAGAAATACGCCCAGCCTCAGAACACCATACTTGAACGGTCTTCACTTGTTAGCACTAACCAGATCCAGTCAATTACAATACCGTCACCTCTGCTGGGAGCGCAGAGGCCCTCATTGAGAGCTCACGTTTGTTAATGTAGTCCATTACTTCATCAAGACCACACACTCCCCCGGCCAGTGATTTATTACACGAACAATGCTGATACAAAAGACAAAGAAAGACCCCCGTATAGCCTCAACAGACTGTTGGGGCAAGTGCTGTTAGCGAGCACCTATTAAGACCGGCACGGTACACGAGGGGGTGGGTATCCAGCAGCACGCCCGGCCACCTTTGTCTGAGTCGACCTAGGAAAGGCACAAGAACCGGTTCAGGTAATCGTAATTGGTGTTGGCCGTGAGCGGGAATCGAACTCGAATAACCGGGCTCGTAGCCCAGAGTGCTAACCGCTACACCACCGCTCTCCACACACACACGCACGAACGTTCACACATATTCACGTACACAACACGCACACACGCGTAACAGCGAGACGCAGGCAAAGAGAGGAGGAGAGAACGGAAGCCGCCGTACTCTGCGAGAAATACACCCGGGATGACACCGACCCTAATGAATGGAACGGCACTTCGGGGAGAGATGCATCGTGGGTTCAGATGATACTGGGTCTTTGGATGCCTCTTGGGAGTAACGCAATTACAGGGCTACTTGCGACACACCATTGCGACATGCTACCAGCATCGGGGATGTCAACGCAAGCGTGGCTTGTGAGTGTGCATGGTGTCAGGCGCAGCTATTATAAAAATTTGAAATATTTTTTCTTACTTTTGCAACTGCCTCTGTGTGTTGCTTATGTCCAGTGCTGCGGAATTTGTAGCGCACGTGGAGGGCGGGGTAATCGCATGCCAGCAGCAACCGGCGTTAATGATTTCCCCAAGGTCTGCGGTCCTATCGTTGGATCTGTGGTGTCAGTGTGAATGCGGTACATGCCGGTCATGTGCTCGGGAGAGTTTCACCGAGTCTCAAAATGTCTTCAGGAGGGTCCTCTGGACTGATGTTTCCAGACTGCGACCGATATTTATACAAGACTGAGTCGACCTAGGGGAGGCCCAGGACCGGTTCAAATGTCGCTTGCCACCTGACATTCGTCGTGTCCAGGGAATCCAACTCAGGTCATCGGATTCGTAGCACGGTTAGCGCTAATCGCTGCGCCACCATTCTCCCCACTAACAAACAACAAACACACAAGCATACACACTTACACTCATTGCTTTATGAACAGCTTTTTTTTCATAAAGGTTTTGGGGTTAGATCGCGTTATTTATAAATGTGTCGCAACCCTCCACCACTCGACACGGCCAATCAGTAAAGCCCGTGTCACGTTGACAAAACACCAATAAATCATCTCTTTTTTCTGTTTAGTTTGTTGTCCATCCCCCGCACTTCTGATTAGTACGGTTGGCTACGTACGGTGCGAAAGAAGCTCAACACACACACACGCGAATTCTAAATTACATTTATTCACCTTTAGTGACATTTATCTTCAGAAATTCAGAGGGCCTTGTAGTTGGGGCGCACGAACCACTCACGCTTGTCGCGTTCTACTCGAAAATGTGCCACGAAATCCGTCGACTGCACAGACCCCACTCTCTGTACGCGTCTAGTACGAGCCACTGATTAATGAGCGCAGCGCATCGCGTCCTCACCTCCACGGCACGTCCATCAATCACACCCGGCACGTTACGTAACATCCGACACATTTAGCCGGCGCTCATGGTGGCAGCAGCCCGCCTGAAATCCCTGGCGGCTCAACACTCGCCACAGTTTTCTTTTACCAGACTGATAATTGGATTAAATAAAAAAAAATGTGACTTACGTTTACATTTTGCGGCGTGGTTTTTTTTGTTGCGAAACCACGGGGACGTGAAATACAAGTTTTTCTCGCTCTAGGCGCATTCGCTTTGTGCCATTTGTGTTCAGGTACAGAACCCAAGACCGATTCAGTAACATTCGCCCCCACTGTTAGCCATGGCGGGGAGTCGAACTTACAGATTAATGTGATCGCAGCACAGCCGACTGACCACTGTTCCAACTCTCCCCCACCCCCCCAACCTTCCCCCACCACAAATAATTATCATTCATATTTTTTGAGTGAAATTAGTGTACGGTGAAAGTGAGGATGGGGAAACGTGTTACATTAGCGTAGGTGGAGCAATGGGTTCTCTCTCTCTCTCACACATACACACGTCTAATTGTAAACTCGCCTAAGAGGAGCGTGTCTGTTGCATCTGTTGCATCCACTCACGAACTCCCGCGTTCTTACCAAGTGGGCGTTTGTTAAGATCCAGTCCCCGCGTAGGAAAGGCGTGTTACGAGCGCTTTGAGATTCGAAGTGGGCCACTTTTGAGCGGGCTGCCCACTGATGTTAGGCCCCACGTAACATCATCATACCAATCATCGTCATCATACCCATTATCATCATCGCCATCATACCCATCACCAGATCCAGACTTTCACGGCACAACGCTATCAGTGGGGAGAGCAGCCACATCACACCCATCATCATAAAGCATACTAACGGTCATCATCATCATCATACCCATCACCATATCCTGACCCTCACGGCACAACTCCATGGGTTGTTTTTTCAAGTGAGTGTAAGAGCAGTTCTTGTGGGAAATGAGTTGTTGTAGCCACTGGGAATTCTGGCAGAGGAAAGGAAGCGATGGCGATGTGTGGTGACCTCAATAACGTCAACTTGATTGGCTCTCCGAACATTGCGGGGAGGGTGCACCCAGCACCCCCAACTCCACCGCCCCCCCCCCCAATATGACCACCACTGCAGAGGTGCAATCGTCAGCACCCTGGAGCTGCAACTCAGAGGTAGGCCGGTTCGATTCCATCTCCTGGCGCGGCAGTTGAAAAAATGGCACATTTATTCAATCCACCCACTCTCCCGCCCCCCCCTCCCCACACAGCACATCGCCTCTGGATACGTGGGTACAACACCACAGCCGGTCAATCAGCAGGCCACGTGTGATGCGATAAAGCGTAGGTAACTGACGTAACCTCCAAGACGTCCGGTCAGCGTGGCAGGGTTAGCGAGCTGCGCTATGAACCTGGCGACCCGGGCTCGATTCCCGCTCACGGTCAACACCAGCGATGATGATCTTAACCGGTCCTGGGCCTCCCCCTAGGTCGACTCGGCATCAAATGAATACCTGGTGCGATGCGTAAAACATTCGCCACGGGGGATACAAAGGCGGCCAGGCGTGGTGCTGGCCACAAAACCCTCCGCTAATGTGGCTATCTCGGGCTCCCTCCAGTGGAAGCCCTTGAGCGAAGCAATTGAAGGGCTGCGCCATAGCTCATTTGGTATGTATCTACGTGCGCCTGTACCTCCCAAAACTCGCGTCCTCACCTTGGCCGCCACGGACGAGTTTGGCTTCTCGAGGAGGTCCCAGAGCCTCTTGCGCTTTTCCGCGCAGCACGCGCCGTCAAACACCTCGGCATCCATCTCGCGCGCCGTGTCCGCCTCGCGCCGCAGCTCCTCGTTCATCTGCTCCTTCTTCTGGTGGTACCGCGCCTGGCAGCACGACTCCAGGTAGATCTCGTCCACGCCCCAGTAGTCGAGCTCCTGGCTGAAGGAGAGGGCGCACATCTCCTCCATCATGTGCAGCTTGCCCGTGCGGTAGAAGTTGAGGATGGACGTGAACGCGCCCGGGTGACGGTCGAAGAAGTACTCGTTCTCCCCGGGGCTGTGATCGTCGCAGAGGGCCGCCGCCTCTCCATCGACGCTTGCGTCCCTCAGCTTCCCGAGCCTGGTCCGCGGAAGTCTCTCCAGGGTCCGCCACAGCACCTCGTGGCACACGCCGCCCACGTTGAGGCGCACGCGGCGACTCAGCGGCTCTCGTGCGGCAGAGGGGGCCTCTTCTGCCGGTGATCTCGTAGCGTCTTCTCCACCACCTCCTCCTCCTTCTCCGGTGGGAGCGTTCACCGTGTCCGGGTGACTCCCGTCAAGCCCCTCCGGGAGGGGCTGCTTGGGAGGAGACCCACCGAGGGATGTGGTGGAGCCACGGGTTTCCATTCTGGTGTTTGTGATGATGACACCTTCTCCTCTCCTGCTCCTGGTGCCTCGTGTCCTCCTTCCTGTATTCCCTCTGCGCTCCTCTCCCTCCCTCCCCTCCTGTTCCCTGTGTTCCTGCTCTCTTTGATCTTCCTTCCTTTTGCTACCTCTTGGCTTCCTCCTCCTCTCTCCTCCTCCCCTACATCAAGTCCCTCGTGAGCAAGATCTAAGAGGTCAATGAAACACAGCGAGGGTCATTCGCGGACGCGATTTGCTTGGACGCACACGCGGCCGCAGGTGCCCAATTCATCGTTTGATGATTCAAACAACAATTGACGACTGCTTCATCGACAAAGGCGAGACAGCAGTTGTGATAATAATTTCGTGGACACGAGGAAGAACGCTGTACTGCACGTGTGCATTTTACGCATTGAATCCCCTCATTAAAATGCCGAGCCACATCTTACGGGTGCCACACACACACAAAGACAAAGACCCCCCGTACAGCCTTTAACAGACTGCTAGTGCAAGTGCTGTTAGCGAGTAGCAGCCTATGAAGGCCAGAATGGCACTCGAGTTGCGTGAGGGGTGGCCAGCACCACGCCCGGCCGCCTTTGTATCCCTCGTGGCGAATATTTTACGCATCGCACCAGGTACTCATTTGAGGCTGAGTCGACCTAGGGGAGGCCCAGGACCGGTTCAGATAATCATCGCTGGTGTTGACCGTGAGCAGGAATCGAACCCGGGTCGTCAGGTTCTTAGCGCAGCGCGCTAACCGCTACACCACCGCTCCCCACTTGTGGACTCCACACAGACGCGCGCGTGCAAACTCGCCGGCCTCTTCAACGCAAACGGCAAAAGCTCATTCGCAGTCTCACGCGTGCTCTTCTCGGGCTGCAGTTTACAATCTTCACACTCCCCCTATGCGGCATCCCTGGTCTCTACGCGACACACGACTCTCTGTGTGTGTGTGTGTCTTGGTGTTTGTGTGTTACTCGCTAACAGCACTTGCCCCAACAGCCTGTTAGAGGCTATACGGGGGATCTTGTGTGTATACAGTATATATATCCCGGCCTTAATCAACACTCGCTAACAACACTTGCCCTAACAGCATGCCTAGGCTCCACGCGAGATGTTTGTCTCCGTGTATCAAACTGTGTGCATCTCTGTGCGAGTGTTATAATATATGCACGTACGCGCCTGTGTTATCTGTGCTGTCGGTCGTGTGCATCTATGTGTGCGTACGCTTGGCCGCGTGTGTAATCACGGTAAGTATATGCGAGAGCAGGCGTGCGTGAGCCGTGCTCTGCCAGCGAGCCTTTGACACTTCACGTAGCCTCAAGGTGCACCTAGCCTGGCACGAGCGCCGCGATGACGTGACCGCCACTTAGTGGCGAACGGCGGTTGTTGACGCGTCCTTATCAGTATGTGCTGTGTGCGTGTACATCGGTCTGTCTCCCTGTGTCTGTGCACACACACACGTGTACGTGTGCGTACACGTGTGCGTGCGTACACGTGTGCGTGCGTACACGTGTGCGTGCGTACACGTGTGCGTGCGTGCATGCCTGCAGTCGTTTCCTACCAGCTCATACCCACATGCATGGATCGTGTTCCTTGTGCGTGGGTCTACGTTTTGCTGTGGAGTGTGAGTGTGTGTTCGCCATGCACGTGTGTACGTCTCTGTGCGCACGTGTGCGTAACGCACGTACGTGGGTTGACGCGCGAGTGTCGCCGTGCGCATACACGCGTGGAAGTGGTTCACTCGAACATATTATTCAGAGCAGTCCATCAGACTAAACGAGACATCTGTGTGTGTGTGTCTTCCATTGTTGACACGTGTACTGTACGTGTGCAGAGGTCTCTCTCTTTCTCTCTTTGTGCGTATGATACTGGGCAGGGAGCGTGTATTTACTTCATGTGTATATGTTCGTGTCTTTGATGTGTTTGTGTGTTCGTGTCCGTGTGTCCGCGCGCCCCCCTCCGTGTGCAACTCAATGACGTTTTTTGTATCCAAACGAGATCCGGACATCTCCTAGGTCGACTCAGCCTGAAACGAGTGCGAAAGTAGTCACCCGCTGGGGAGAGACAAAGGCGGCCGTGCATGCACGCGTACGTGGTGCGAACCACACCGCCCGATTGTGCTCCGTCCCGTTCCTGAATAGATGCTCACTAACAACCCCGACCCCGACACTTCATAAGGACACGCACAGCTGAGTCTCATAGCCAGCATGCACCGGGACACACATGGCACGATCCCAGTAATAGGAACTCATGGAAACCGAGTAGAACTCAATTTTTCGTCTCTCTATCTCTGTTTTAACGTCCACCAGCCAATCCAGTGGACCCTGTTTATATGCGAGCAAATTGTGGACACGTTTTGACCTTCAGGGGTCACATCGACATTACCAGCCTGATGAAACACATGCAGCTACGTTGCCAGATGTTACTGTTAAGAACACTCCATCGACAAGACTGAGTCCTATTCAACACGCAAAGCAATATATATTTTTAAAGCAACTACATTTATCATGCGAGGCTGTGGAGCATAACTGATGATGACAAATACGTTAGACCTCCGTCTACACACGCATGTTTTAGTTCCATCAGCCTATTATTGGCTTCGCGAGATCAGCGCTGTAGTATCAAGCAGCGGTCTGTTGAATTCTCGACCGGGATTCGATATCGAGCAGTCTCATCGGCGGAGTCGGGGGCTTTGTGAAACCAAATCCAGCACCGGCGAATTGCCGCGAACATTTACGAAAAGTTTCAAGCGGGATGCGCACATTCGGAGTTTTGACAAATCGACGATATCGATGGACTCGGCACCCACCTTGCTTCGATCACACGGCACGCATCGCCGAGTGAATCGCACGCGATCATAATTGTCGTCGGTGGTTGCTGCTGTTGCTGGATTGTTGACGATGTCGCAGATGTCGTCGTCGTCGTTGTTGTTTTACGATTAGCGCGGTGTTCTCACGCCGGATCTATGGGACGCGGAGACGAGGGAGCCTCGCTCGGCTTGCCGCTGGTGGAGGCGCTGCTGTGTCGTGAGCGCTCGCGTCCTACTGAGAGTCGCGCCCGCCCTCGACGATTTGCTGCCCGGGCACCCGAAGAGAGACCACCTTACGACAGCCGGGACCCACCTCCGAGCCGCCGACGACGATGAACTCAAACGATGCCCTGCTGTAATGATGATGTTGATGATAAAGAAGTTGAATTAAACACTGCCGCTGCTGCTGATATTGGTGATGATGAACTCATACGATGCTGATATGGTGATGATTGTAAAGAAGTTGAATAAAAAAAAACTGGTGCGGATGATTGTGATGATAGTAGCGACTTAAGTAACGCTATTGATGATAATGCTGCAGCTGATGATGTTGATGATGGTTAACTCAATTGATGCTGCGAATGTAGAACTCTAAATTGATGCTGCCACTGCTGATGATGAACTCCATTTAAAGCTCAAATAAAATGATACTGCTAATGCTGCTGATCGTTTCACCGATAATGTTGCCGCTGTTGATAACGCTTCTGCAGCAGCAGCAGCTGTTGCTGATTAAGATCCTGACGAAGACGACAATGCTGATTACAAATAATAATTTAGCCGCACGTGCTATTCATTAGAATGCCGCTCGCGATGCCAGCTTGGCTCGCCCGGCCGCCCACCCACCCACCCACGCCTTTCAGTCTCTATCCACTGCTGGCCCCAGGTCCCTCCAGCCGCCGATGAATAACGCTCTTGCAGACACCGCCGCTGTCCATGGTGCTAGAACGCGAGAGACGACACCGCGCGCCGCGCCGTCTGTTCGCCGTGACACCGACTGATGTGGAAACTCCGCTTCGCTAAGACGCAGCGCCCGCAGCTGGCGACAGAGGGGAGCTGGCGTGGGGAGAGCGAGTGGGGGGGAGAGCGCACCCGAACGAGAGAGAGAGAGAATGAGGAGGGTTGGAGGAGAGGGGAGGGCAGAAGCACGGTGATGATGGGATGGGGTGGTAGCATGATGGTGTCTGTGTGTGAGACAGAATGTGTCTGTGTGTGTGAGTGTGTGCGTGCGTGGGGAGCGGCAGTATAGCGGGCAGCGCGCTTAACTATACGAACCCGGCATCCCGGGTTCGATTCCCGACATATGGAGTCTTTGTTGTGACAAAGGGAGGAAATTGGGGAATGGGCTTATGTGTAAGTGTGATGATGGGGTAATGGAACGATAAGTCGCCTTTAATTGCTGTATATTATTGGCTCCTGGTTAAATAAAGGATACGCATTACGGGGTAATGGGATAATGTGTGCGTGTGCACGCAGGTGCCTGTTTGTGTCTACATCCATTCTCGTCGTGTTTGTTTTGCGCTCTGTATGCACACACAGTCAAAGATCTCCCGTATAGCCTGCATAGGCTGTTGGGACAAGTGCAGTTAGCGAGCTTCTATTATTGCCTTCACGGGTGGGTTGCGTGTCCAGCACCACGCCGGGCCGCCTTTGTCTCTCTAGTGCTGATCGCTTACACAGCGCACCAGGTACTCGTGCAAGACTGATAATGTTAATGCGATACTGCGTTGGCAGTAATTCATTACCACAGGTCACGTACAGAAGAAATGTGTCGCCTCCAGGCTCTGGAGACCACCTGGAGAAGATTCCAGGCACGTGTTGACAATGATGGCGAACTCTTTGACTTTTGAAAGCTATTAACATTTCCATGAAAAAAGATAGTCCCATGTAAGTGTTCACATTATTATTTTTAAAGCACCCTGCATATTATCGGGGATATCATCTCTCCGCTTAGGGCCATCACCCGGAAAGCTGTCTGCTTAATATGTTTTACTATGAGGGCAGTATTGTTGACGAATATAAACCCGAGTCGAACTCGGGGAAGCGCAATATCGGTTCAGATCTCACTCGCCACTGATGCTACCCTTGGCCGACAATCGATTTCAGATGCCGCCAGGTTCATAGCGCTAACCATTGCACCACCGCTCCTCCCCGTGCGCGCGCGCGCACACACACGTACACGCATGCGCAGGTGTGGATCGTGCCGTAAATGAATACTGT